ATCCTTGGCCGGCAGTGGGGAAGCTAGAAGACGCAGAAATCCGCTTTTGATCTGCACATCTGCTTTCCGTGCCGCACATGAATCCCCCACTCATCAGGTACATCACCTTGGGGATTGGTTCTTAAACGTCGAAAGGGTTCAAACCTCACGCAAGGCTTAGATTTCTCATTAACGTCGTTGTGTGGATGTCAGCCGCATGCGGAACCTGAAATACATCATTATGGAACGCCACGACGTCAGCAATGTACGGAGTAAAGCTGCCGTCAGTTGAGAAGGATTCCCGTACACGTGGCGGAATAGTCGAGGCAAAGACTAAAACCGCGAGTACGTAGATATGCTGTGATTTTGATTTTCGGTCTTGTTTTTGAGGCGTCGGGCAGGAAATGAACTAGATGCGGTCCAAGCCTCGCCGTAGCCGTACATAAAAAGATGCCTCCAAGGCATTTCTCATCGATGAAAACTCCCGACTCCGTAGTGATAAATCGTCTATGACGGCAATGGTAATTATGAGTGCCTCCTCGCTTGTCCCTGTCGCAGCCGCCGGGAAAGGCGGCGGATATCGTTGTCCTCGTGACCTAGTCCAGCCAAAGTCCCTTTTCGCACATTGTTGTATCTTTCACCAGATGCATGCTTCGCAAATTGTCTGTCGCCAGTTGTGCCGACCGATGGACAACTTGGTTCAATAATGGGGCTACCATCTATACGGAATTGGTGACGGTGTGGTCCTCTTCAATTGTGAGGCTTTCGCTGAAGGCTTGAACGGATTCAAGGACCTTGGCAGGTGTGACGGCGGCAAATCCCCTAATCGTTGTTAGCTGCGATTCAAAAACCTCAAACCGATGGAAGAGTAATGCCTCACCTAATCATAGAGTAGGTATGGGTGATCTGACCGCCGGCATCGATGATGGATTGCTTCGCCCGCTGAATGATGTCGTCACCGACGGAATCGGATTTGGCCCAGACGATGACGGACTTCATCTGGTCGACGGCGAGAACACCGGGGACAACAGCCATAGCGGCGACGAGGAAGGTGGAGGGTCTCATGATTGCGAAGGGTGATAGAGGTCTTCGAAAAGGGGTGGAACGAAGTTCTTTGCGATCGCGGATGTCTATGCGGGTCGGTATTGAGAGTCTGACTTTGCGGCGATTGATCAAAGTCGAGGATGAGGGTAGTGTCAGTGTTGTAGGGTAGGTAGTATGGTTGACGAATGCGCTCAAGGGTCTTGTGGGGAGTCTGCGGTTATTTAATCTTTGCTTGCGAGTTACTGGAGAAGGTTGCTGGAGACTCGCGGATTGGTGAAGGACGGGTGGATGCAGGGAGGAAGTTCAGCAAGTTGGACGTGGACGGACCGGACTGGGCCTTGATGGATATCGAATGGATGTTTGGGCTCCCCTTTGTCATGGCAGGGTGACTGACCAGTGACCACTGAATTGATGGGGACACAGCGAGCGGAGGGTACCTAGGATGGGCAATCACCAGCCGAACCTTAGTTGACCACCTGCCCAGTAGGGAGCGCCGTCGACCGGTGCCCCCCCCTCAAAAGTAGTGGAGGTGTTCCATAGGGAAAGAGTCCCAAAAGAGACCTGTTTGTCACTCTTTTGCGTCCAGCTTGCCAGGTTCCGGCCAGTAACATACGTCAGTTGGGTATCCGTCTCTGCGTCTAGAATGGTGTGGGAACTGGCAATGATGGGACAACCTGGTGGCGCTAGCAAGCAGTATGCACATGTGCAACCTAATTTTTTGTTCTTTTCGCCAGCATTTCCATCCGACTCTTGCGTCTCCATAGATAGGTAAGGTACATACATACCAGAAACTGTCCGTTCGTTCAGTCTGCAGCACATCAACTGTATCCGTACCGACCATGGGGTGGCAAGGGTCTTGGCGCGGCTTCAAACTGGTGACATGCAACAAAAGTCCCACTTTGCTGTTTCCTCCGCCTCCGGTCACGGGTGCTCTCCGTCGTCCCGCCAGGACTCGGCCTTCCCTCTGAGGAAGGTCACCAGCGGGAATATGGCGACATCAACCAATCTCGGGCTCCGATAGTCCGTACACATTCACCAACTTCACCTGTACAAACGTGCCACCTTGTAGCGCTGTGTGTAATCGTGTAGAACTTCTAGGTGTAACCACCGCATTCGATGGCGCGATCGACCGCTTGGTGCACCCGCATCTCCCGCTGCAGACTCGGAACAATTAGCGATCGGTGACATCGATGCAGGTTATGGACAAGCAATTCTACCATCTCACGTCACCAGCCGACTCATTTGTACGACTTTATCCGGTTCCTCCGACGATGGTAATCGATAATCTAGCTTGATCTTCAGAGCTTGTGATTCTTTGCGGGTGTAGACCGTGTTCACCTCGTCGGTCGCCTCACAAAGCCCGAACAAGAACGTTGGGCTGGCTTAAAGATACGATTAAGTGCTACGAGCATCCAGTGCCAATCTATCAACCTGATGTTGGTGGGGTGTTGCCTCCCATGTAATGCATGTGATCCTCAACGCCGGTCCATAATCACCAAACAACGAAACTCCAGTTCCCACACATGTAGGAAAACAATGCTGGTGTAATACAGAGGCCCCAAGTGATGCTCCAGGTCCAAGAAAAAAGAGGCAAACAAAACACAGAAAGATCACCAGGTTGCCTCTACCCCTTCGCACTGCCCGTCGCGCTGTCATTCTCGCCCCAGATATCCTTAGTCTCCTGCTCGACAGCCCGCATCGCAACAGCAACGTGTTCAAGTTTGGCAACGACGTCGAGGACACCTTTATTAACCCGTTGGAAGTACCGATCGTTGGCCTCGCGCCTCTTTCGTGCGAGCAAGATGTCCACCTCTGTCTCCTGCTCGAGTTTCGCACCGAGTCGTTCCGTGCCCCCGCTGCTACCTGGCCGCCCATTGTTGCTTCCCGTGCTCCGCGGTCCCTCGTTGCCATCTGACGCAACGCCGCCCGTCTCTCCGAGCACTGCGCTCTTGAGGTTGCGAACCTCCTCGCCCCCAGCTGCTGACGTGTTGGAGCGCTGACCCGTCATCTCGATGGCCTCATCGGCCTCACTTCGTGCCCACGCCTGTGCCAGATCGATCTGCGCCGTCCTAAGCTCCTCCAGCTTGCGATCGTGATCGGGCCCAAACACGTGAGTCCCGCCTGACGCCGAGAGCTCGACCTCCTCGAGCGTCGCCTGCATCTCCGCCCATAATGCGTCGGTCCTGTCGCTGCTCCGGGTGCTATCCGCGGTCTTGAGATTCCGGACAGGGCGCGCAACGGACGGCGCGACTACCGAGCCCGTGTGAAGAGATCCATTCCGTTGGTTATTCATGGCTTGCTGAGGGAGAGGCGTGACGCCAGCGGAGGAGGTGGCCGGCGCTCCAGGCGCAAGTATACCCGGTAACGAGGCATGAGAGGCGGCGGGAGATGGATGAAGGAATAGGGACGGCGGAGGGTCGCGCTGTTTGCCTTTGCTCTTGGCTGATTGAGACATGCCTACATTTTGTGTGTCGTCGTGAACATTCCAAGCCCGGGACTTGGCGTCTGAGACAGCTTCTCTTGAACTTGACGGCATCTGATAGGATTGGTTGGGTTTAGGTAGTCGAGGCAAGCTGTGGACCTTTGGGGGGCACCCCTGGCTAAGACGGTACGGTCAGCAGCGTGGGGTTCGAGCTCCGGGCGGACCAACGTGGTTGAAAGCGAAACCCGGCCGTGGTTGGGTGAACTTGACCCCACTTTTTGACTTTCAGACCCGGCCTTCTTCCGCTCCTAAGGCAAAGAGAAAACGCACGAGCCTGTATCACGTGACGGAAAATCACGCTCCTCCCACCGAAGGGCACAAACCCTCTGTGTGCCGAAAAAGCTGTCGTCGGACAAATCTGAGGATACCACTTTTCGCGAAGAAGCAGTCAGGCACTATCACCACCACCAAGTCAATTCCCGCGATACCCCCCAACACATCGGTACGTTTGCGCTGTCCCATCTAGAACCTCCAACCCATCGACGACGAATTTCCCGAGCAAAAAGTTTTTCAACAATCTCGACGACGAAATCTCGATTGCCACCAACACACAACTACCCCTCTAGGAACTTTTTCAACTGACAATAGTCTCATCCAGCCAACATGCCTCGTGGACTCAATGCGGCGCGCAAGCTGCGCATGAACCGTAAGGACCAGAAGTGGGCCGATCTCGGATACAAGAAGCGTGCCCTCGGTACCGCTTTCAAGTCCTCCCCCTTCGGTGGTTCCTCCCACGCCAAGGGCATCGTCCTCGAGAAGGTCGGTGTCGAGGCCAAGCAGCCCAACTCCGCTATCCGAAAGTGCGTTCGTGTTCAGTTGATCAAGAACGGCAAGAAGGTCACTGCTTTCGGTACGATACACCCCTCCCGAAATACTCCCAACATACGATTCTCGACGACGATCAAGAGAACGGGAAAAGAAGACTGGTCTTGAATAGGACCATGTAGCGAAGGGAACAAAATTGCTGACATTTTTATGATTCTAGTCCCCAACGACGGTTGCTTGAACTTCGTCGACGAGAACGACGAGGTCCTCCTGGCCGGTTTCGGTCGCAAGGGCAAGGCCAAGGGTGATATTCCCGGTGTCCGTTTCAAGGTCGTCAAGGTCTCTGGTGTCGGTCTGCTCGCTCTGTGGAAGGAGAAGAAGGAGAAGCCCAGATCCTAAACGGGAGGCTTTTTTCGATCGCGCGAAAGCATGGGAAGGACAGTGGAAGAAAATTCGGCACTCGGAGTTTTACGCTTGCATTGGCATCAATGGGTTATGGTCCTGATACTGCGGGTAGACTTTGGTCGATGAAATAAAACATCATGAAAGTCAATACCTGAACATGCGGCATTTCACATCACACATTACACAAAATGGGGTTTATTGGGGGTGGTTTGTGAAGAACAAAATCAAGAATCAGGGAAATGTTGATTCTACGTGCTATGAAATTTACAGACGATGTTGGTACAAGTTTTTTCTCCTAGCATCTATACGCCCTTTTTGAAGTTTCCTACTCCAGCTGCTTCTGACTGGCAGCATCCTCGTTTCCGCCTTGAACATATCTTACAGTATAATCGGCCGCGAGACCTAGGCTGATGACGCCACCAGTGATCCAGCAACCGTTAATGAACCACCACCAGCAGTCCTTGACGCTCTTCAGGTTGACCCGCTTGATCATGACACCGAGTGTCACTGCCGCTCCACCGACGCTGCCGATGAAGAAGGCTGGACCCGCACCAGCTGCGAACCCAGCAGCACCCAAAAGACTCAGCTGAACCGCAGCAAGACCCGTCAAGACCTGCTTGGTCTCAGCATCATGCTTGAGGGCGATACTCTTGATGCCCGCCTTGACATCATCCTTAATATCCATGTGGGCGTATATCATATCGTACAGAATCGTCCAGGCGATGTTTGATGTGTACAGAAGCCCGGCAGCCGTCAACGCCGCGCTGTTGGACAACAGGTCGATTCCGAGAGCTGGAAAGCCCATCATCGCACCCCAAGAAAAGGTGAGGCCCAGTACGGCCTGGGGGTAGTAGGTAACCCGCTTCGCCAAGGGGTAGGAGGCCACAAAGAGCAGACTAGGAATGCCGTACCAGAGGCAGGACGTGGGGAATTGGACCAAGATGCCCAGTCCAGCCAGGAGCTGGGCGCCGGTGAAAGCGAGACCCTGAAAGGGAGTGATGGCGCCTCGCGCGATGGGTCGGAATTTCGTTCTCGTGACGTGCGGATCGAGGTTGCGGTCCCACAGATCGTTGATGCTGCAGCCTGCACCTCGCATGATGAGAGCTCCCGAGAAGAACAGGAGCGAAGTTCCGATGACAGAGGCCGGAGATGCCATGGGCATGGCCATTGGCGCCGCCATCAGAGTTGAGAAGAGACAAGGGAAGAAGAGGTAGTAAGTGCCTGCTGGCTTATCGATGCGGGTGAGTTCTGCGTAGGGAACCCATGATGCGGGCAGGTAAGAGATTATGCCGGTCGTGGGCGGCGAGTACACGGCTTCAGGTGACGCTGGTTCGGGGGTGTCTGGAGCAATGGCTGTTGTGAGGCGTTTCGTGGTAGTGTGGAGAGCTGTGTGCTGTTGATGAACTGAGCTCCGAAGAGTGAGACTTGTGCTAGGCTTGCGGTGTGCCTGCAAGCTCAATCGAGATGCTGGTACCGCTGAGAGAAATCTCGTTGTTCCGGATGAGGGTTTGCATGCCGCCCTCAGAGGACCTCTTAGCAAGTTGACCTGCCTCATTTCGAGTCACTGTCACGATGTTAGTATAAGTGACATATTTACGAATTATGAACGTGTAGAGGAGATAACGAGTTGGTCGTAGCAATACCAGAGAGAAAGTACAAAAGTTTCTGATATTCAAAAGGAGTGATATTCGCAATATGGAAAACATTGAAACGTTGAGCCTTAAGTCATCTAAACTGTGAAACTCTTCAGCTGTGATGTGCAAGGGTGCCAGCTCCCTCAACTATGTTCACCAGAGCGCATACATTGCATCGACAGGCCTAAGCTTCAGAGGCAAGAGCCAGTGGAATACTGCCCGCCGGAATCTATATTGGGGAAGAACGTAAAGAAACCTCAAGACTTACCAATAACCGATACGGAGCTCTAACAAAAACCAGATATGCCCCGTCAACTTTTTACACCCGTCACCGAGAGAACCGAAATTTGGGAACCGTTGCCGAAGGGTCCAGAGCTTAAGTGTGGTCCGTGCCATTTGATCCTTGGGGGCCAAGGTACCGGTAGATTCGCAGATCTTCATTGGCTGCGCATTTGACTTTCGTTCCTCTTCATCACCTTTGAATCTCGAATTGGTCAGCCTCGCCCAACGCCACTTTCCGTTTACGCGACACGCTTTCCAGCCTCTGGATCGCATCGCCGCTTGTCGCGAACGTCACAAATTGGCACCTTCACTCGTCATCCTTCTACATTCGCCGGCCCGACGCGCCGCAAGTCGTCTCCATTGCGCCTGAGAATACTTCTACCGCACGTATCCCAACCGACGCGTCAAAGATCGCATTCTCATGCATTTCCCCGCCCGAAAGTGGCTATAACCAGCCGTCAAGATGCCGCCTCCATCGCATCCCCAGGCCAAGTTCGACCCTATTCCCCCGGACTTGGACCTTTTTACACTGGTCGATCATACCCCGAATTTCGAATGGGTTCTCCGAATTTCGACTGCGCAGATCCAAGGATTGGGCCCCCAGGAGTTTGAGAAGTTGGTCCAACTACAAGTCATTCAAGGCGGGAAGCCCTTGGTGATTGAGAAGTGGAACGAGGTTCTCCCTGAGTGGCTTTTCAGTGGAGAGTGGATGGAGAAGACATATGACAAGAAGCGTAAGTGTAGTCACCTTCTGCTCAATCGCGGCCGTAGCTGACGTCTAGACAGAGGAGAATGTCCGCGACATTACCGGCCAGACCGAGATCCCGATGACCACAGGGCACTATATGAGAGCCATGAAGCAACTCACCAACCAATGGACACCGACCAACTATCGAGACGAGAGACGGCAACGCCTTTACCTGAAAGACATCGACTGCCCCCCCGAATGGCAAGAACACCTGCAGAAAGTCATACCTCCCAACCTGTTTTACATGAACGAAAACGTCACGCAAAAAGGAGCAGCAGACAATCGAGAAAGCGATCCCTTCCGTGGCTTTGGCGATAGATCAAAGGTGGCACCCGCAGGAGATCTCATGTCAAGCCTACCCGAAGAGATGCGAGCACAGAACCTAATGTGCTATATCGGACACGAAGGAACATTCACCCCGGCGCATCGTGAAATGTGCGCCAGTCTCGGACAGAATATCATGGTTGAGGCTTCAGGGAGCGAGAACGGAGATAAACCTGGAAGTTCCATCTGGTTCATGACGGAGACCAAGGATCGAGAAGTCGTCCGCGAGTACTTCCTGTCTATGCTCGGCCACGACATCGAGATCGAGAAGCATTTTGCCCAGATCAACGCCTGGAAAAAGGCGACCTTTCCGGTTTACATCGTCGAGCAAAAGCCCGGCGATTTCATTCTCATCCCCCCCTTGGCCCCGCACCAGGTCTGGAATAGGGGTACGCGCACCATGAAGGTCGCGTGGAACCGCACGACTGTCGAGACCCTGGACATGGCACTTCACGAGGCCCTTCCGAAAGCTCGTCTTGTCTGCCGTGATGAGCAGTACAAGAACAAAGCTATAATCTATTATACGCTTAAGAAGTACTTCGCGCAGATGGTCAAGGCCGAGCAGGACAGCGAGATGGGCATTGCCGGTCTAAGCTCGGAGATTTTCCGATCATCCTCACGGTATAAGCAGCTTGCTAAGGATTTCCGCCATCTATTCTCACTCTACACTGAGATTCTCGTCGACGAAATGTTTGCGACTAAGGAGAAGAACGTCGAGTATGTCGAGTACGATTCTTGCGTCACCTGCTCGTATTGCAGATCGAATATTTTCAACAGATTCTTGACCTGCAAGCACTGTGTGCGGACCCTAGTCAACGGGGACGAGGATGCATACGACGTCTGTATGGAATGCTACGCCATGGGACGATCCTGTGTCTGCATATCCAAACTTCAATGGTGCGAGCAATGGTCGTGGGAACAACTGACGGAGGACTACGAACTCTGGCGGGCGATGATTATAAAGAATGACGGCTTCGTCGATATAGAGCTGTCACCTCAACCCCTTGAAATCGCTCGCACCCGGCGAGGCAAGAAGGCACTGGCCGAGATTTGCCAGGAGGGCTTGCACAGGCGACCTTTCAAAGATATTTCGAGGCTTGACGAGGACAAGCCACTCACCGAGTCCGAACCCGAGCCAGAATTGGACGACAACGGCAAGCCCAAGAAGAAAAAGTACAAACGTAAGAAGAAGAAGGGAGAACTTCGTCGCTGCCACGTTTGCTGTCACAAGGACTACGCCTACAAGGTGCAAGAATGCTCAAACCCAGAGTGCAAAGAAAGCTACTGCTACGGTGTGCTTTACCGCGCGTTCGATCAGATGCCACAGACGGTACAGGAGAATGAGAATTGGCTTTGCCCAAAGTGCCTGGGCGTATGCAATTGCGGCGCATGTCGCCGTGCCGAGAGCGGCAACCCCTATACGCCAAAGAACACCCTTCTTGGTCATGACACCCGGGCTATTGCGGATGATAGAAGTGTTGAGGCCCTCGTCGACTTCCGCGTGCACAATCTCAACTGGCTCAAGACAGCTGGCGAAGAAGGCCGCAGCGCAAACAGCAAACGTATGAAGGAGCTACGGGAGAAGGCTGACACCGCAAAGGCTCAGGAGAGTGCTTCTCTGACTGCCGAAGACATCGCTAATGGCGCTAACGGTGCTGCCACGTCCGCGGAGGGTGGAATGAACGGATACGGAGATCAGAGTCATGTCCTCGGTGAACAGGACGGACATCATACTGATGATCGCGATCTCAACGCAACTCAAGACATGTCGCAGATGGACATTGACCCGTCTGCTCCAGTGGCGAACATGAATGGGGACCCCGAATGGGACCAGTCAGCATACCCGGATCCCTTGGGCATGGACGGCCAACCTATGTTCGGCATGGGTTACTACCACCAAAGTGGTCCAGATCAGATTCTATTCGACCCGTTCCAAATGCCTTCAACGGACGCCATGGTGTTTGACGAGGAGGCTGAGTACGTCAAGAATATGTTGCGGACACAGAAGCGGAAGGCAAAACAGGAGAATGACATGGATCCAGACTTTCATGGGCCCAGGCCCCAAAACAGGAAGAAGGCAAAGAAAGATGACGGTGCTGATGAATCTGCCATGGATCCGGCGTTGTTCGGTTCGGCACAACCTGCTGCCGCGGGCGCCGCACCCGAAGCTGGTGAGGGTGATGTTGCCGAACAAGCCGGTGTGAGCGGTGGTCCTGAGGATGAAGCCTCGGCCCAGCTTGAAAGAGAAGCAGTCCAGGCAGGCGGTCCTGCACGACGCGGGATGTCAGCTCCTCAATTCCCGGCAAACGTTCCTTCATTGCGACATGCAAGGCCTAGAGCGTCTTATGCTGAGCCAGAAGAACCAATGATCGACGACCCCGATGACATGGTGCCGGCTTTCAAGCAAAGGCCACCGGTCCAAAACGATGAGCCGGAGGCGGGCGATGCCAGTCATGATCCTAGAGACTTGGCTTCTGACGCTGTGCGCGCTCTCATCCAGAAGGGAACTGATGCTGCGGCCGCCACCGCCGCCGCTGATGGAGCCGAAACGCCCACAGTACCGAGGAGGCGAGGCAGGCCGCCACGGAACGCGAACTCGACGCCGGCTTCGGCGCCGAGGGCCCCTCTAGCCGATGCCGTTCCAAAGCCGTCTGAACTTGCAGCAAGAAATGCAGCGAAGAAACGCGAAGAACGAGCATCTCGACGGTCGGGCCTTAGCCGCGTTGTGACTATAGACGGAGCCAGCTCGTTCAACCCGAGAGCTAGGGGCAATACCGTCAGCGATGACGATGATGATGCAGATGACGAAGACGCAGCTCACGATGTAACGGAAGCCGAACTCGAGGCTCAACTTGAGCGAGAGTTGGCTGGAGAAGGTCCATCCCAGAGTGCACCCGTCACCTCCATCGAGACCGAGACGGCGGAGGCAACCGCAGCACCGCCTAAGAAGCGCCGTGGTCGACCGCCCAAGAACAAGACTGCCGCGGTAGAGAAAGCGCTCGTTGATCGATCACCGCCCCCGCCCCCTCCGGGTGCCACAAAGATGATGTCAATGGCGGCTCGTGTTGCAGCTCGCGGAGGAAAGTTCAAGATTACTTCGCGCAAGTCGCGAGATGCGAGCGCGAAGCAGACTCTGACACCAAACCAGGCGTCTTCCGCGAGGCCTTCCGTCAGTCGCAG